ATGTTCTTTTCTTCATCAACTCACAACTGAAATTCTCTGTCTGACATAGTTTGTTCTGCTGCACCCTCAGGTGGTGGATGAGTGCCACTACACGCTGATGGAGGGACTCGGCACTGTTGCTCAATAAAGTTCCTCATCATCTGCGTTCATTGGATCTGTCCTTTGAGTCCACAAGCATTAACACAAAACACAATCTTTTTTGTTTGAGTTTGCCAGCAGACTTTTTTTCTTACTAGTTACTTTCTGACATGGCATCCCTTATGAAGGCTTTTTGGAAGTGCTTCAACATGCTCATGTGTCTTTCCCTTTTTAATAATTCATCTTGTCTGCCAGTGAGAAATGTTTTTTAGTCATTCATAATGGGAACCTGAGTTTCTCAGTTCCCGATATGTGAAAAGTTGAACAATCAAGTGTTTCTATAATTGTCATTAGGTCATAAATAAACAGTTGTTATAGTAAATGTTCAATTATTTGAATATATATACTATTTTCTAAGCTTATAACAAATTAAATGTCCTACTAAAGACAATGGTCTACCAGACACTGGTTCCCACCGTGAAGCATTGTGGAGTTAATTTTGGTTGTTTATTCGTTTATTTTCTATTTATCTTTTAAATCAATAAGCATTAAGCTGTTTAGGCCCCATTTACACGAGGACGAAACGGGTACGTTTGCGTTTACGCAGCGAATTCGTTTTCAAAAAAGTCTTCCGTTCACACGCATTGGGCTCAATTAACGTGTCGGTTAACACGACACCGCTCGACCCGCTGGAAATGCTGTAGTACATATGCCGGGCCTGTAAGTGGCGCTGCTGCCGCCACAAAATATACCAAAATCAGCGAAGAAGACCCCGGAGCATGGTTGCTGTAAATCTCTCCGGTAGTCCACCAGCAGATGAAAAACACCCACCGACGACGACGTTCCAAGGGACGAGGGAACCATGCGGCAGAGTTTCAGTTAACATTTTTTTCCGCCGGTCAACATGTCCGTTAAAGTTTAAATCTTCCGGACAAAATTTGAAAAGTGCCGGTCAGAGATCTTCTTTGTTATTTATTGAGCTTTAAAACAAATTGATAACGACTCTATATAATAATATAAGAATAATAAAAGCCACTCTTTCCCTCCCTCTCTTCTGACAGCCCAGCAGCAGCAGGAGACGTGGGGAGAGGGAGGCGGGGCTATTTCATCGTTATCAGAAAATGATCGTAGAGGGTGTACACATGGAGCCGTTTGCCCCCCAGAGCCTTCCGTTTGCAGATCTATCCACCTTGGGACCCGTTATCGTTTGTGGGGTCCATTTACGCGTTTACGTGTCGGCCTCGTCGGAACGAACGGGCTATACGCGAGAGAAAAGTAGCAGATACAACCCGTTTTGTCCTCGTGTAAACGGTACCTTAGTTGTGCAAGTTGTCATGTAAAATAGGTCTCAGTTGGGAATGAACCTTGTTTCCAGTATTTCCCTTGGGACTCATTTGATGAGGGATCGGCAGCCATCTTAAAAAGGCCAGCGAAATGTTTGTGACTCATGTTTTGATTACGCAGACACGGAAGCCAGCAAGCGGACAACGCCGGGAAGATGGCCGAGGACTGCGACCAAAGGTTCGCCGAGGTCGAACAGGAAGTCAAGTCGTCTTTTTGGTCCAGATTCGCTTTGCTTGAACTAACTCCTCTCGCCAGGCGAGCTGAGAGAGCCATGGATCAAGCAGAGAGGAACGAGGTGAAGCCTTCGGGCTCTGTCAAAGGCAAAACAACTACCTGAGGGAGTCTATTGACTTTGTCCAGGTTTCTGTTGGAAAATAAACCCAAAGGGTCAAATACGTTTTTTTTAAAGCTGATCTTAACCTTAAATAATCGTGGCTTGATATTGAGTAAGAACATGTTTTTATGAACCACACAGCTTCCGGTCTTCCAAGACCCGGCAGGTAAAAAAGACGTGGTGCAGGCACGAAACATCCTACCAATAGAAATATATTGCTTTTAAAATCGTGTTGGTGAACACGAATCAATAGATGAAATGTTGTGACTCGTGACTATAACACGAAATGCCGTGAGACTGGGTTGGATCTCCAGAGTCAAGCTATTTTTCAATATGACAGTTTTCTCCAGAGAATACATAAGAGTGCAAAGTTGCCCAGCTTCTATTTTCTTTTTTTTAAGATTACTTCTGGCCTTCCTTGCAAGATAACCAGATCATGGCAGTAGCCAAGAAAATATAAGAGAACAGCAAATATAAAGTTTTCTACACAACAGTTAAACAACATAGCATTTCTATCTCTCTGACAGTGTTTGTTAATACAGTTTCTCATACATTACATCTGATGGAAAGTAAAAAACTGCACTGACCTTAAGCCTTGAAGTTATGACACTTCTGTGCACATGTAGTGCCACCTGCTGGTTGACTTAACCCTTCTGCAAACTAAACATTTCGATATTTCCTGTGATTACACTGATGTTCTGGCATTATTCAATAATACCTCATTCACACCAACGCAACTCCGGTTCAAGCTCCGTGCTAGAGCTTTTCAGGTTCAGAACCAGTTCTTCGGTTTAGCTCTGGCTCTTTTCACACCGCCCATAGTCCGAATGTTAATGCGTCGTTGCGTCATCGTTTGCGTCATGACGTAATCGTTTGCGTGCCTGCTTCATAAAGCCAAACCGCGCGGATGAAATCAGTTGCATTAATTTCTTATGGCTCTATCTGCAGCTTTTCCGGAGTCATTTCTGTGGTTTAGTTATATTCTTATAAAAAAGTGTACTCGTGTCAATAAAGGTTTTTTTTAAACACAACTGCTTCCGAGGTCGGTCTTATTCCTTAAGGTGGACTGAACCATGAGTGTGGAGTAACGTTGTATCTTTCATTTAAATGAACTGTAACCTTCATCCAGGTATGTAACAGCTATTCTCAAATGAACACGTGAAGTAAAATTTAATATTTATATATAATATAGATTTATAATGAGTTATAATGAGAGGTGATCAACGTGAATGCTCAGGTTCCACCTTAACACGCAGACACGTTGCTTCACCATGAGCAGAAACCTTTATATCTACAGTCTATGACTATGGCTGAAACTCTGAAACTCTGGTTAAGTTTCTCCATCGTTCTCCAAACTGGATAAAACGTGGGCTTTTTGTTGTTGTTCAGGAGTTGATCTATCTCTGCCATGGATGTGTCTCTGCACCTGCCCCCGCCTCGACGTAAGCGTCACGTATGTGGTGCTTTTGCTCTGGCCGGACAATTTGTTGGTGCTTGAAACGAACCGGATTCCGGAGCTAAGAGGCTGCTCCGCTGCGGTGTGAAGAGGAAAACCCGGTGCTTTTCAAGCTCCAGGTCCGAACCGGCCCTGAAACGCCGTTGGTGTGAATGAGGTATAAATTCAGTTTAGAGAAGTGGTTTCACCATTTTAAAAACAACCAATACAAAATGAATGTATGAAAACATTTAGTTTATTTACATTTTTGGGGGGTAAATGATTAAACTGTTGTATGATTAAAGGAGACCTATTATGCAAAATACACTTCTTTATGTCTTTTATACATAAATATGTGTCCCCGGTGTGTCAGGGAACTCACGCAGCATCAGAAAATAAAGCCCTCTCTCTTTTCCTCCGTACCCAAATCTCTAAAAACGGGGCTTCAACAGAGCTGATCCAGATTTGCGTCCGATATGACGTAATATCTGAAATGTGGACCCACGGCCCAATCAGAAACGTTGCTATCAGAAACAATGCCCGACTGTTTTGGACGTAATATGGTCAGTGTTTACATTAACATCGCTAACACTCAGAGCTAACCTGTACTGGAGAGCATGTGTGTGAAGAAGCAGGAAGTAAAAAGGAACTCACCTTGTGGTATAACCGGCAAGAGAGAAATCCTTTGAGCTCCAGACTGTTTCAGAGAGAACCCTTGATAATCCATGATATGGCGTTTCATCACCGCAGTATCTCCCGGAAGAATATCCTGCATAAGCTCCGCCCCTCTTTTTTATCAAAAACAATTTTTTGTTAAAGCTTTATACCCAAAATCAGCACTTTTGAAACAGGAAGTGAAATAGAGGGATATGAGACATGGCTAGAATGGGGGATCTGTTTGTTATTTTGAGCAAAACACTTCATGGACATGTTTTTTATATATCTGAGACCTATGCTATTGACAAAAAATAGCATGATAGGTCCACTTTAAGTTAAACGAACATCAAGTAATTACACATACAAGGTTAATTGTCGACTTAGGACAAAAAAGCTTAAACTCAAAGTCAACCTTTTAGCTTTTTTCAGGAGATTTCCACCATTTTCACTCATCTTTAAGACAACAAAGTCATGAAAGTGTAAACTGATCCATCTCCGTTATTAGCATCTATATCTTCCCAACTGAAGGTTCTGGAAAACCGAGAAATAGAGAAGATGTCCAACTAATTCAAAAGGTGAAAGCTGGTGAACCTTTTATTGTTAGTTGAAGAAAAGGCTCAGAAAAAAACATGTTTTCTTAGTTTTATTACAGAATTAGATCCAAAAACAAGAAAAACATCCAACAGTTCAGTGGGTACTGTTTCCTAGAACAGTAACAGAAAGAAATGCTTGTTTTTTTGGACTTTAACTCTTGGAGAGAGGTGACTCATTCTGCCATGATCGTTGTAGTTCACATGGAGTGTGGTGCTAAAATCTTCTAATAGTGACAACAAAAACAGATCAGCTTATAATTGTAAAATTAACCACAGAAATGACTCTTCTCACAATCTACTTAACACCAAATCCTTCAATCTTTGTGAAGAAAACCATAAAAGGTGAAATATGGGTGGATTGCTATACGTTTTATTACAATTAAACAAAAATAAAACTCAAAACAAAATAACAGTTTAGCCGATGAGATGAGTTCATTAAGGCATTTCCCTTCTTTTAACAAAAATTACTAATTCATGCCTGTCTGCTATTTTTACACACACACACACACACACACACACACACACACACACACACACACACACACACACACACACACACACACACACACACACACACACACACACACACACAAATCTTAAGGCATTTAATAAGTCTCCCAAACAAACTCTTTAAGACACATCGTAATATTTGTCATTCTTTTACTCAGCATGTAGGATTAGAGGTAAAGTAACATACATGTGGTAATAAATTAGGATCAACTAGAATAATTATTTTCACTTTGTGAAACATTTTTAAGTTTCAAAGTCAACATATATGAGAACACACGTTTGTTTCTGAGTCTCTGAAGTTATTTGAAGGTAGTCGTGGTTAAATAGCTGTACAGAAGATTAAATGTGATTGTCACTTTCAAATCACAAGATCAAACAAATATAATTAACTATTTTCCCGTAAACAAGTTCTTACATCAGTCATCACGACATTAGAAATGGACGGAAATTATTCGTTTTTCAGTTTGGCGGTAAAATATATTTTTCTGATTGTCAACAAAAGATATGTTGAATATATATTTTATTCTTTATTACTGTCCTGCTGCAGTAACTCTTCACGTAAGCACCAAATGTGTATTATTGCTCCAGTGCCTGCAGTGTTTCAGGTCCTTTGACTTTTTTTGTAATGACCTGTGCTCAGAGGATAAGGAAACACTCTTTGCATGATGACTCTGTGTCAATGCCCCTTCAACAAATACATGTTTTATCTAAAAGCATACATCACAATTCATGTGTTGTTAAAGTTCGATATGATTTGCTTACACTCTGCATTAACACACATAATGACAATATACAGCAGATGTCCTGTTATTTCCTTGAATGTAAAAAAATGCTGCAAATAGTAGCTTTAGCAGCGTTTTCTACTGAGTGGTTTCTTTTTCAGGTTTCAGGTTTCACGTGCTCTCTCACTGCACTGCACAGGATCCGCTGGGCAGGAAGTCCTGAACGTACACCGCCACGGCCTTGGTGAGGTAGGTCATGCTGCCGAAACGACCACTGGGGGCGCTGTCGTACAGCAGCCGGCACACTCCTGTGGACGGGTCTCGCTCCAGGATGTGCTCCTCTGCTCCCAGGTCCTTCTGCAGGGCGAGGAAAGAACGACATGCTGTCTTTAGTGGATTGCATTCAATATTTCACCTCCTCCTTTCCCTCACTCGTGTCCCTTCCTTGCGTCTTAGCTCTGCCTCCGTAAGACGCGAGCGAGAGACGCGAGGACAGAGGAGTCCTCAGGTATTAATTGGGACGTCCTTGTTCACTCCTGCGTCACCATAAACATGTGTACATTAACAACACAATATGTATTATTTTCGGTCCTGTATTTGTTTTTCCAGCTCTAACATTTCATTTAAGTTATAATTATAATCAAAACATTATTATTGAATGTGTAAGTATATTTTGCACACTTTAATGTTTTTATAGAGTATGATCTCCTCATTCGTTTAAGAGATGTAATATATTTTACTCTTAATGAAGCACTTTAAACATTTAATGACTCCTCCTTTAACGGTAAGATCAGCTGCAGTGAGCAGACGGCTGTGAAGGTGGGGGCGGGGCTCTGATGCGCGAGTAGTGAAAACACTTCCACGTAGTCTGCTCTCATGTATCCTCCCTTTCGTCTCCTCCCTCACCCCTTCCTCGACTCCTCCGTGTGCATTTCAGCAATTCGGACGTCCGTCAAAATGGCGTGTCTTGATCGATTTCCGGGTCAGGTCCGGGAGGAGGGGAAGAGAGGAGTCGAGGAGGGACATTGAGATGAACCTTGTGATGGTTGAAAAGGCTCCTAACTGAGGGAAATGACCCTTAGGTACATAAGTGGCAAGGCAAACATTAACAGCATTAAGACATCATGCAGCGGAATCACATTATAAAATGGCAATTTAACAGTAATTAAAAAGCAAAGAGAATAAAATGAACATAAAACAAGCTAATATAGAGTAAGACAGATATAAATACAACAATAAAAGTTACAGTGTAAGATATGAATAGTTCAATCAAAAGCCTTCAGCCTGGATTTAAAAATAGTAAGAGTTGCAACCGACGTTTTTGGGAGTTTATTCCAGATATTTGGAGCATAATAACCGAACGCTGCTTCTTCACCCGTCCCAGAAGACCTGAGAGTTCTGGTTGGTTCAAGTGGCAGCCATGATAAGCTGTTAAAACATCTTAGATTGTAAGGAAAGGAGTTTCAAAGCCTTCCTTTCCTATCTCCTTCAGCATAATGGCGCCGTGTCTTTGGCTCCTCTCCAACTCTGCCTTTCTTTTCGTATTATTTCAGTGTTTGTTTACTTCTTCGTCGTGTGCTTTTCGATTTTATTTGTATTTACTTGCACTATTTTATCTGTCTGTAAATATGTACACATGACAATAAAAGCCTTGAGTCTTGATAAGACGCACTGGATGTATGTGGTGTTGACGTCCCGCTCACCTGATCCTTGTAGAACATGTCGTTGGCCAGGTGCACGATCTTCTCCACGTGGATGATGGATCCGATGCTGGGGATGTCCACGTCGGCCAGCATGGTGAGAACCAAGATGGCTTCCACCAGCAGCTGCCGGTACTCGGGCTGAGGGACGCGGTTCAACACCGTCTCCACGTGCACCGAGAACTTGATCTCTCCTGGTGTCATCTGGAGGAAGGAGGTCAGAAGAGAAAGACAAAGGCATGCTAAATAACAGCTGTGGGTAAGGGGGGATGGATGTAGCTTCAGAGTAGAACACATGTAAGAAGTCGTCATAGTGATGTTTTTTGTGGACAGTTTTCATGTGGATCTCTTACCTCTCTGGTGGTTGAAGAAGGAAGGACAAAGCCCTCTATGGACAAACCGTGGCACTAGAAGACAATGTTTTTTTAAGGTTATTCATTTATGCACAGAAGGTTTTCACTATATCAATCCCTCAAGACACTGTTCCTCTATGAAATGCTACAAAAAACGCCGGAAAGGCTATTACTCGCACACTTTTCACATTTAATAGTTATTTTATTGTAATTTTCATAATATGTTGTTGTAGTAGTTTGCCATCACTATTGAATTAATATAATTGTTTTGTATATGTAATCTTGTGTTCTCTATAACATTGTGAAATGTAAAATTATTTAGGTGAAGGCTTCAAGTACATTCTTGATCGGTTATGTTTTTGTATTATTTAATTGTGCAACACTAACACAACAATGAGATGTGTAGGATGAGCCAATGGGTCGAATCAGACCTAGAAACAAATAATAAATAGTGTTTAAAGCTCACTTTCTGCAGGATCCTCCAGACTTTCTGGTAGAATCCGACGGGCACTCGGTTCAGCGCTCCGTCCAGACGCCTCCTGCGCAGCCATTGGCCGTGCCTGGTATCCTTGGCAACCGGTATGCATTCCGGAATGTCCAGGGATTCAATGGAGGGCAGCCTGTACCTCTGATCAGAGACACGACAACAAAGAGAGAAGTTAGTTAAAGATGTGTTTTATTGTGGAAGAGCGGCGCCCTCTTCCCGGTTTTAAACGCACACATCCACAATAATGATGTTGGCTGCAGAGACGACTTTAAAATATCTGATAAATAGACAAATGTTTACCCCAGATTCAAAGTTTTCTATGTCCATTGACTGAGATCGTATTCCCTGAGATGAATAAAAGAAACAAAAAGGAGGGGTAAGAAACAATAAGATGCATTGAAATGTAAAACACAACACATTGATGAGTGAAAACAACAACAACAACGATGACAACAACACAACCGCACAGCCAGCGGACTCCTGCTTCCTGCTTCGCTAAATTAAAGCATGCATGGATGATGGGAAATGATTAAAATGAGGTTAGAAAAAACAAGAGATGAGTAAATTAACGAATGAACTGTCAATAAAGTTCGGCAAAAAAAAATTAAAACTCCATCACCTTGAAACAGAAAATTAAAAAAGCACTAGTGTGTTTTTTTAGTAAATTCCAATAAATAAATACAAATATTTAAATGAATACATTATTATTATTACAGCCAAAAGAAAAAAAAGCCAATAAACCAATTACTTGATCAACAGAAAATTATAATAAATACATTAAATATATATAGTTTTTTATATTTAATATATTGGCTGCAGAAAACACCATTTGTGAATATTTCTTAGTCTCATTTAAAATAAAATAAAAGTCAGCAGATTATGAAGACAATCATCAGTTGCAGCTCCACTTACAATTATTAATAATTATCCAGCACGAAATATTAGCAGCCACAAAGTAGCGTAGTGTTAATGGCTCGTATGATCTGCTGCATGGCTTTTAGTCTCACAAGAATTAAATCCAAATAAATCGAGTTTAAATGTCGATACTGGTGTCACCTTGCGAGAGAAGGAGAGTGACGGGTCGAGCTGAAATGGAAAAGAAATCCACTCTGCGTTACAAACGTCCAAAAAACATGATTTACCTAAAACCAAGAACAGTATTGAACCGAATACATAACAATATTTATTGTGTAAATTCGTATACTAAGTTATGTATACCATCACCTTAAAACTGTCCAATACATCTTCTATGTTCCTGAATCACATTTACACTTACAGTATTTAACATAATGTTTAAATAACTGATGTCTTAAAAAGTAACTTGGTATGTCTTAAATGTCCGGTTAGGATGTATTAGAACGAAATCTAAAATGAAAATTGTAAATAAGCCATCTGTATGTCTTATATGTCTTAAATGATATGATGAATTGGAAATGGGGGACCCTGATGTAAACAAGACGAAAGTCTTTCTCTGGTCTGCATCCCCTTAACAATTGTATGTTTTGAGCTGTACTGTACTGTACCCAATATACAAGCTGTTAATAAACTTTTCAATCAATCAATCAACACACGTCATGCGCCGTGTGGCATTGACACAGCTAAGGTGATAAATAGTCTTTGCTTTCATATAATATCAGTTTTAATTCAATCAGCAACAAATATTTTCATGTAATAATTCCGCAGTTGTACTGTGTCCATTCAATAATATGTAAGGTCATCTCAATTTAGATTGATGTTATATGACTTCAGCAGATGACACCCTGCTTTTATTTCTGGTCCTGGAAATATTTTAAGTAGAATATTTAATTCATATGTTGTAAGATTCAAGTTTAACAACACATGAAAATCACACATGGATGTACTTAAACATTAGTGATAAGAGAGAGCTTTGTGGTTTACCTTGATGTTCATACTATATTTATTGGAACCAGTTTGTATTAACAAAGATAAAACTAGAATGATTCCAGAAGTATAACCAAACCCAAAGATCATTAGAAAGTGATATGGGAAATATTGACTTGGTAATGTTTTGACTTTTGTGAATGAATGTGAATGAGGTTACTTTATAATATCTTACAGAAATGTAACCAGAAGACATGTCACTTTTATAATACACACATTAATCTTTATTATTTTAAATGTTGAAACCATCGACACAAGCAGAAACAGGTTGATGTTGAAACATGTCCTGAGAGCCAGAGAGCAGACTGAGAGCAGTGTGAGAGAGAAAGCAGAGTCCCAGTGAGTCAGCTCAGGACTGGGAACACTGGTCTCTCCTCAGTGTCTCTGAGAGCGGAGTCTGGGAGCCCTGGGTGGCCTCACAGGTCACAGAGACCACCTTCCTCCACTGGTCTGCAGAGAGCCTCAGGGTGCTGCTCCAGCTGTAGTGGGCGTCCTTCTCCAGCACCCCGGGGCTCCTGCTCTCCTCCCAGCTGCTGCTGCCGTCCACCTTCCAGGCCAGACTCCAGTCTGAGGGGAAGCCCTTGTTGGCCAGGCACATGAGCGTGGCCTTCCCCTGCTGCAGCTCTTCTGTGGAGGGGGGCAGCACCGTCAGGGTGGGCTGGACATCACCTAGGAGACACCAATCAGATTAGAGGACAGGGAGCACACAGCTATTGATCTACCAGCAGACACTGGGACACCTTTACAGTGAGAGCGCTTCTCCTTTAAGGAGTTTCTGTCAGATGTTGGTTCTGCTCCATCAGTCTCTCACTCACACATTGTTTCACTTCCCTTTAAGAAGCCTCTCATGCAAATCAGCACGGAGACACTTCATACAGAATCACCTGAAATATGTCTCACTGGAAATAAAGTACAACATTAGGACACATTTTAAATAGTTGTGGTCTAAATCATCCAAAACCTGAACTCTACAAACCATCATTAAACTATTTAGTGGATAAATGAACAAATACGGGAAATGAAACAATCAATTGAGCTTAATGTGAATCTCAATAATTACCCAGTTTTACAAACTTTAAAATAATGTCTGAAGGAATTCAACACATCTTTTTAAATATCCATCGTTATCTTTACTCTGTTCAACCGTATTTAAAAACTGTATTCGTAATTTATTTGAAAACAGACGGGAGAATCGAGAACAAATGAAGAACAAGTGAATGAAACATTAGCAGTTTCATCATTTCACATCTGAAGCTGTTTAAATGACAGCATGTTGGGAATGTATAAAGACATTTCAGGAAAAGCTGCTCCGACTTAGGCTCAATGATGAAGAGGAATAAAGACATGAATACTAATACTATCTAAACAGTACAATTAAAATAATATATATCTATCTCTCAAACATTCTAACACAGAATTTAAACGTCATCATATTTAGTTTTTGTGCAGAAACTTACTTCCAACATCCAGTCTGGTTCCTCCACCGAACGTGTTCCACAGTGATACAAAGTCATTGAGCCGCCGTACAAAAACCTCTCGCTGTAGAGAGACACGGCTCTCTGACTTTGACACAAACAAACTCACCAAACACATCCACGGTTTACCCACTTTATATAATAACTGCTTCCAATGTTTGAAACAGATTCACAAACTATGGAGAAGTATAGAATCTTTTTTAATGAGCTGTTATACATTTAAAAAGCAAAATACTCATATTGAATGAAGTACATGTAATGACGTTATTTCTTAAGAAGAACTCTCTAATCGATCGGGCAAAAAGTAAATCATTGTCATTTGATAAAGCTTTATTTTAGATTGTTGTGGAGGAAGAGAGCTTTGATTCGAGTGGGAGTGAATTATAGGACAGTTTTAAATATTCTTTGGAAAGAACAAGTGAGCCCTGACCCAGTCCGGGCGGCAGTGCCCTTGAGCAGGGCACCGGACCCCCAAGTGTTCCCTGGCACATGCTCCTGTGCACCTATGTACTTGTAAGGTGTGTAAAGAACACAGAGTGGAAACTGAATGCTCCCCCAGGGGGGGTCCATCTTCTTTCTCTTCTTCTTCGTGATCAATAATCCAGGTCCCTGTTGGAGTCAGTCAGAGCATTTCCATAGAGAGACACTTTGCATCAGCAGCACCATGCTCCAGTGCTCTGGGACACTTTATAGTCCTGAGAGTTGAGCACTGGATGACTGACAGCTGTCCTTCATGACAACAGAAGCCACAGGAATCCTCCTCATCAAGAACATGACTTTGATCTGCGTCCTCATCTGGACTCTCCTCTGCTGCTGCTTCACAGGTAAAGTCCAGAGAATCAAACTCCTCTCCTCTGTGAACGTCCGTCCCTCTGAAATGAAGCGGACAAAACCATGACGCTGCTTTCTGTCTTTGTCTCTCCTCAGAGTCCAGAGGCCAGGTCACAGTGACTCAGTCTGGAGCAGTGAGCTCTGCTCCGGGACGCTCCGTCTCCATCACATGTACGACCAGTCAGAAGGTTTATAATTCGAACCGTTTAGCCTGGTACCAACAGAGAGATGGAGGAACTCCTAAACTGCTCATTAAGTATACTAGCACTCGAGAAACAGGGATTTCAGAGCGTTTTACAGGCAGTGGATCAAACTCTGACTTCACTCTGACCATCAGTGGAGTCCAGACTGATGATGCAGCAGTTTACTACTGTCAGAGTTTCCATGTCATCAACAGACAGTATGTGTTCACACAGTGAAAAAGCGTCGTACAAAAACCTCCCTCAGTCAGACTGAACAGGAACTGAACTGACTGCTGCAGCTGGAAGCTACTGCAGAGACTGATACACTTCACTGAGCACACACACACACACACACACACACACACACACACACACACACACACACACACACACACACACACACACACACACACACACACACACACACACACACACACACACACACACACACACACACACACACACACACACACACACACACACACACACACACACAAGGCCACTGGCCACGACAATATCCCCTCCAAATTCCTCAGAGACACAGCAACCGCCATCTCACCAGTCATAGCTCACATAATTAACCTCTCCATAAAACAGGGAAAAGTACCCAAAGACTTCAAAATTGCAAGAGTAACCCCCCTGCACAAAAAGGGCAGCAAATTGGACCCAGGCAACTACCGCCCTGTCTCTATACTTACCTCCATCTCGAAAGTCATGGAAAAAATAGTATATGAACAGGTCGAAAAGTACCTCGCGGAAAAGAAACTAATCTATGAATTTCAATCTGGCTTTAGAACATCCCACTCCACTGACACATGCCTTCTTTATTTGAGCGACCACATCAAACAAGAGGTGGACGAGGGCAAGTACTGCGGCATGGTGATGCTGGACCTACAAAAGGCTTTCGACACTGTCAATCACCCCATTCTGATTGACCGGCTAAAAGCAATTGGTTTTGATAGACTATCGGTGAGCTGGATGCATTCCTACCTGGAGGGGAGAGAACAGATGGTGGAGGTAAACGGTACTCTGCCCCCCCCCCTCCCAGTGAGCTGTGGTGTTCCACAAGGAAGCATATTAGGTCCGTTACTGTTCCTAATTTATGTAAATGACATGTCATCAGCATGTGACTGCAACTTGTTCCTGTTCGCGGACGACTCAGCCCTGCTGGTCTCTGACAGGAGCAGATTGCAGGTTGAAAAAACCCTCAGCTCCGAGCTCGGCAGAATCTGCACCTGGCTCGCCGATAATAAATTATCATTACACCTGGGTAAAACAGAGTCCATTCTCTTCGGTTCGAAACATAATCTCAGCAAATCCGACGACTTCTCAGTTGCAGTGGGCGACATTATTGTCACAAGTAAGAAGGAAATTACATACCTAGGATCTATTCTTGAGGCAAACCTCTCCTGTGACAAAATGGCATCCAATGTAATAAAAAAAGTTAATCAAAGAACTAGATTCCTATACCGGATCTCCTCTCTGGTAAACAATAACACCCTGAAAACTCTGGCAGGAGCACTCATTCAAGGGTACTATGACTATGCTTGCACGTCATGGTACCATAGCACCTCCAAGGCGCTAAAAATAAAACTTCAAACATCGCAAAATAAACTGGTCAGACTACTGCTTGACCTTTCATCTAGAACCCACCTCACCTCTGCCCACTTTGACAACCTAGGATGGCTTAGAGTAGACGACAGAGTACAGCTACTTGCAATGGGCCTGGTCTACAAGATCCACTACACCTCTATGGT